CCTTCACTGACCCATCTCTTCCTCTGCCTGGTTCTCTGAGTCACATGCTTCCACTGTCAATTTTCTTTGCCCAGCAGTCCCCCCTCTGAGGCCCTTGATCCTGCTTCTATCTGCATATCTAAGCTTTCCCCTTCAGCCATGTCATGCCTTTGCCCCATCATCTGCTCAAACCCCCTTCTAAACTCGACCAGAGTTTCCACCTGCATCTCCAGTCCTCGGATCTTTTCTTCCATCAGCTCTATCAGGCGGCACTTCATTCAAACAAAACTCCTTTCAGGTACCCCCTCCAAAATCATGTACATACCGCAGCTACCACATCCAATCATCCTCCTTGTGTTCTCTACTACTTGGGCCATGGCCACTACTGCCTCTGTGTTTTATCTACTTTCTCACCAAAATCTTCTCCTCCGACAGAACTCCCACTCAAACTCCCCTGTTTACAGCTCTGTTTGCTTGGCTCCTGTGCCGCTGCAGCTATCTTACTAAATTTAAACTGCAGAGCTGCAGCAGCGGTAGCTCCCAGACCCAGCTCAAGCCAGGACTGAACCGAGATCTCATGCAGACAGGGTTGCTACCATGAAGCAGCCTCTGTCAAGCAGCAGCCCAGTCTGGCAGTGAACAGAGGCTGCTCTGATAGCAGCTCCTGTCCACAGGGGTTCCCAGGTCCCCGCTGGTACCCCCTGCGGACAGGGGCTGCTCCACAGGGTGCAATGTAGTCTCTGCCCGTGGCAAGCCTGGGCCCACGCAGACTGAGGTTGTTTTGCAGCAGCCTCCCCTCCCCACTGCGCTGCTGCCTCTTAAAGAGAACGTGCTGGGGGGAACTGGCTTTTAAGACAGCTCCCCCCAGCACCAGCTCCTGCTCTTTCCTCCGCCTTGCTGCCTCGGATACACAGGCAGCAAGGGGGATGGGGAATGAGAGGAGTCAACTTGACTACCCAAAAAGTCTAGGCTTATCGGGTAGTCGACTACTCGCTTACATCCCTGCTGAAAACATCCACTCACTGTGCAGCAGCTGTCAAAAAAGCCAACAGAATGTTAGGCCCAGCATGTGCCAAATAGGCAACAGAATTAACCGCTAACAGAACGCTGGCCCTGCGTGTGCCAAAGCTCTACTCTGCGCTGGCATGGCAAGCATCTCCACTCCCTTGGCTAAGCTCTGCAGTGGTGGGGAAGAAGCCATTTCCAACCTGTTTCTGTCCCAACCCAGCAGGTCCCCAGGCAGGGACACTTAGCACCCTCTTCATACACTGCCATCCCACCCAAGGTCCTGTAGCCCAGAGAGTGCAGATCTGTTCTGTCCCCTAGGCACCCTCCCCTCCTGAGCCACCTCTCTGGCTGGGTTCGCTGAAGCCTCTGCATCGGGGTGGCCAATAATTTTTTAAGGAGGGCCAATTCAAAAATTTTCGAAGTGGCCGCGGGTTGCCCTGGAAGGGGCAGGACCTTGGAGGGAAGGGGCGAGGCTTTTAAATAGAAATAAGCGCCTCCCGTGCAGCTCCCCAGCAACACGATGGGGCCGGGAGCTGCAAGACCTTTCAATTGTTTCTACTTAGGAACCGCAGGGACGGCGTGAGCCCTTTAAATAAAAGCAGTTGAAAGGGCTCACAGCAATCAGCCCCACCACTAGCATGCTGTCTGGAAGCAGCTCCCACACAGCGCTGAGATTCTGCCGCTTGCCACATTCTGGTATGATTCCTGACAGAAATCTCAAGAGGACGGCTTGTAACCCTGCATGCCTGGAGAAGATCCTGCCTGAGAAGATGCAGTGCCAGATACCAGGAGAAGCTGGTCTGTTCCGGGGGCCCAGTCAAGCATGGAGGGTGGAGAGCACTGGGTCAGGCCAATCAGTCCATCATGTGAAAGCACCGGGGCTGGTCTTAGGGCTGGGCAAATTAGGCCCATGCCCAGAGCACCGTACCAAGAGGATGAGGGGCAACTGGGCATGGGTGTTGCTGGGCAAAGGGGGTAGAGGGTACTGTACAGAGGGGCAGAGAGGCAGGACATGCTGGAAATGCGGGGCTGGGATTGGGGGCAGAGGTCCCAGAAGAGTGCAGGGGTTAGGATGAAGGGGGCACTGTACAGAAGTTAGGGGCAAAGTGGGCACAATGCAGGAGTTAGCAGTAAATAGAGCACAGGATGGGGGTGCAGGGGTTGGGAAGCTCATAGGTGCCAGGGGAAATGAGTGGTGCTATGGCCACAGGGGCATCAAAACACAAGTTCACTGAGGGTGTCATTTTCCCCAAAGCCAGCCCTGGAGAACGCTATATGGGAATGGGTGTAAGAAGGTAAATAAAAAGACTCCAAGTATGTGGCATTACTAGTTAACTTGACGTTAATTTGAATGTTTGTACTGCACACTTCTGATTGATTGCCATTCAACTTGCTTGAATAGGAGTAATTTTACTAGGTGTCCTGTGTTCAATATAGGGAAACATGGTCACCCTACTGTAAATGAAATGTTTGTGTAAACAAGACCTTAAAATGCTACTGTATATTCTGGCAGAATGGAGCATCTCATATCAGATTCTATGTGGGTTTCTTTAAACACCAGAAATTAAAGGAAAAAACTAATTTCTTTAGTAATCCATGTAATAGCATTAAGATTTTTCCCCTCTAGCTCAACGGCTGTAGTTAGCTAATAAAACTATTCCCAAAACTAAACTGACATCATCCATGATGCTGTGGACACATAAAAATGCCATGTTAATTCATTTCCAACAGAAATGCAAATAAACACAGGAAATTCAATTAGATCTTTCAGACTTAAGAGACAGTCAACTTGATTTTTCTTTAACTGCAAAAATGTCCATTATCAAATAAAACATTTTAAAAATAGTATGTCCCCTGACATTTTCTTTAAAGAATTATTGTTTTTAAAAAGTTAAAGATTACGTTCCCCAAAGCATCTTAGATTTGATTGTGTTCTTAATTTCACAAAAAAATGAAATTATTTCCATTTTATAGTATTAAAAATTGGCATTTTTTCAAAATGTTAAATGTTTTGTTTAGAGTTTTCTATTTTACCAAAAACTGTTTTTCAATAGAAAAATGTTAGAAATTGTCATAAAAATTGTTGATAAAAAGCTTTTAAAAAGTCACAAAAACCCCCAAAATGTTAGTTGTTTACACTCCCACACACACTTTTTATCCATAGAGGATAAAATATCATTTGAAACATTTCACCCAGCTCTTATGTTTACAGGATTGTATCAGCAAAAAAGAAGCAGGAGAGGGAGAAGGAGTGGGAGGAGGAGCAGTAGCTGGGGAGGCAGCAGGGTCTGGAGCAGCAGGAGGCAGCAAGCTCTGCCCCAGGGCCTATGACCACCTGGGGGCTGCCCCCTGTGGCTCTGGCATATGCTTGCCGCAGCTCCTTGATTTTCATGCGAACCTGCTCCTGGGTTCGCATGTGGCCTTTGGTGGCCAGGCTGGCAGCCATCCACCTGTAGACGATTGTGATCCTCCATTTAGTGCGGAGATCATGGACATTAAAGGCATCCCCTCCAAACCTGAATTAGGTCCCTGATTTCCACACTGGATCAGGCAGGAGCCTGCCTTTTCCGGCCCCTAGCAGGCTCCTGGGAGCTGGCAAACTGCTCCTGGGGAGCAGTGCAGGGCTGGCTGGCACTGGCTGCCTGGCTCATGCTGGAGCCACTGGTTCAGGTGCAGCAACTGCTGGCTCTGGGTTGGCAGGCTTGGAGCTGGCACAGGCACTGTGGTCAGAGTCTACCCCTTTAAGGGTTCTGGGGAGAGGGTGAGGGAGAGGAGTTTTCTTGGTTGTGCCCAGAGTGGCCACGAGAGCACCCCAGAAAGGGCTGGAGCCTCTCTATTTCGAAATAAGCGTCTACACAACGATTATTTCAAAATAGCAATTTCAAAATTGGTGCTATTCCTCATAAAATGAGGTTTACCAATTTCAAAATAGCGGTTTGACTGTGTAGATACTGGTAAAGTTATTTCGAAATAACAGCTGTTATTTCAAAATAACTTTGCTGTGTAGACATACCTTTGGGTAATTTTGAAAATTGCACCAATAGTGTAATTACACCAGGCAATGTAATGTTTTACAAGTAACCAATTTCTCAGACAGTTCCGCAATATGGAACTTTCATTCAGATTTTTCTCTTTCTTGAACATTACACTTTTGTTGTAAGAAATTAGAGCAAGAGATGACGCTGAAACACAAATGAGAATAGAAGCTACTAGGAATAGCAGGTGTGCATTCAAAAAAACAGCTCTCATTTCCACCATTATTTTGTTCTTCTTTGAAAGCACAAGATGAACACTTATTAATATTTTATTAGCTAGAGACCTACACTTATCCCAATTGCACGTGTAAATGACATTCTATAGATGAAAAAATGTTTCATGTCCATGCACAATTTTACAGTCTTCTGCAATACACTTACTCCAGACAACAAGCCACTAAGTAGTTATGCTAGCTATACATTTATGTTTGTGCCTTATCCACAATAATAATATGGCACAAGAGTCAATGGGTCCAATTAATCTTTTCAGAAAGTTTCTTAGTTTCAGTGGAGTTATATCTGGGATAAATCTAACTCCTAATCTTTATTTTTGATGTAAAAATATGAATATATTTTCTGAACCAAAAAGAAAAGCACAGTTTGAATGAACATTTTAAATCAGTTTAAGATAATTTTCCTTAGTGCAGTGAAACTCTTACCACCACCACGCAAATTCAAATACATAATGCAGATGCTTGACCAGGTACAATGTTTCTATTTTGACTTCCTACATCACCACTAGTCAACTAACAAATTAAGTATTCTGCAAAGTCCTTTATCCTGCAAGTTACTTTGTATAGGTTCAGGGGTCTGCCTAGATGGAGCTTCCTGCAGCACTGGTGTCTGAAAAATATCACGTTAATTCTCATCTAAAATGAAAATATATATTCCTATGGCCAATATAATAACTGCAATTTTATAATTGATCAATATGTGCAATTAATGTTAAAAATAAAAAACAACATACAGTCCACTTACTAGCATGTTTATCTGCAAGCATTATAAGGCTGTTGGAAATGTCTCGCCGTCTGTAAAAACACACAACTTTTGCTTCCACGTTGCCATTAGCAGTCTAGAAAACAAGTAAGCCAAGTCAGGATCTATCCTCAATCTGCTGAACTCTTAGAATGATATGTATCCAATCCCCCAGCCTTTACTCACATGAATAGTCCTAAATCACACATGCAGCCATGATTAAATCAATTTGATTACTCACATAAGTAAGGGTTTCCAGGAATGAGCCCATTTCAACTACAGTACATTTGATCAGAGCATTTATACTGAATGCAAAAAAATTACTTTGTTACTAGGACCAATGACAATTTTATCTTAACATAAGACTCCTTTGGAGAAACTATAAATATTAAAACTTGATTTAACATTTCTTTTTCATTCTGTTTTTGTAAGCAAATATGCATTTCAAATTACTATGTCAATTTCATTTAAATTATGTCCACCATAACTCACTCAAGTTTATTTGGCAAATCTATTTACTTCAGCTAACTAGATGGAAAAATTATTTACCATCATGCAGGATTCCCATTATTGGGGCTTAGCTCTTTGGCATGAGACATTCTGTTAACACTTAAAGAATTTTTACTGTCTCTCTCCTCCTTCAGGATCATTCACTATACACTATTCACTGTCCAATCCTCCTGTCTCATTCACAATATCTGCAGTGAACGAAGACGGGATCGTACAGGCAGCAGCCTCGTTCACGGTCAAAAATGCTCACATGGAGTAATAATCTTGTAAAAGTCACACCAATAATTTGTGTGTGACTACCATCACCCATGAATAACTTCCACTATTAAAAACCATGAGCCCATACTTGATACCCCATGATTTCATGCTACAGGAGTAAGAGACAAAATCCAGCAATTCATTATGCAATTCATTAAAAATTAGCAGCATGTTCCAAATTGTTTACATACTTTTTTAAAAAATATATTAATGTAACAATTGAGAATTTTACTATGTTTTAATTGTTTTATTAAATGTCTTTAATGTTAAATAAAATAGAAAATATGTTTTGTCAGTATTTTTTTTCTTTCTATTTTGATGCCCTTAATGCAGGAAACATACATACTTGTGACTTTATTTCCCTCATTACTATATTTCCCCCATTAGGAATCTGGACTACATTCTAGAACCACTCTGTTCTAAAAATCAATAAATGACTGTGTCCTACATCCCCACCAGCAAGATTGCATTATGGCATTCCAGTTTAAAAGTAATAAACATTCCAATTAGAACATTATTGGAATCACTTCAATTACAGGAAAGACAACATACTGTATTCCAGTTGAAGTCCACACTAATCATTATGGTATTTGTGATATGTACATATTATCTGAATGGCAATAATAGGAAGGCCTCTTGTAGGTTGCCAAATTTTGTGAATTACAAGTAAGTTTTTAAAAACATGTTCTTAAAAATTTAAGATTTTTATACGAAAAATATACTTTCATCATTTATTTTGATGTGAGAAATGTATGTATAAGTGATGCCCTTTATAGCATACTAGCAGTTCAACTGCAAAATACTTTATAAAGTAATATAGTATCTTTAAATAAAACTTCACAATAGGTTTTTTCATGCTTCCCCATACTCCCACCTCAAATAGCCTCAATCCTGCCACAAGAAAACTTTCCCTAAGAAGAAGGTAGAGAGTTGAGTCTCTATGGCCATTCAAATTCCTGGTGACTATTCAAAGACTGCCAACAAAGGGTGCAAATAATTTCAGTAGAGTTTCAGTTTGTATTGTCTATTTTATTTTATCTATTTTATTATCTGTGCATTTAGAACCATCTGAAAATCCCAAATCATTTCTCATATGCCACTGAGCAGATATTAAACTTATGGTCACTAACATCCTGAACTAGCTCATCAGATAGGTGAAATAATGCATGCCATTACCAATCTCCTGCGCATTCAAGCTCACATCTTTGTGAAAGGATAGGTTTGGGATTTTTAAAAAAGCAGAATCTTCCTGATCACAATGTACTGGTTGTTTTTCCACATAGTGCAGACTTATAAGAGACCACACAGCAGCATTTCAACAAGTGATATTTGTGTATGAAGTACACACAAATCTACAAAATATCAGAGCATTCAGAAATCATGTTTACAGAAATCATACAACAACTGAGAAAATATTATGTGGGTTTTGTTCTAGTCAGGGAGTTACAGATCTTATCAAGTAGTGTATATGAATTTTACACATTCACATACCTTGTTAAGTTCTTCTATTCGCCTGATCAGATATGGATTACTTGAGGAGTTTTCAAAAAAAACATAATCTGTAACAAAAGGCAGAAGATATTTAATTATTGTTATAGAATGTTGTTTTTGTCAGTGCACAATTCCTGTAACTCTAGAGCAGGGGACTCCAACCTTTTTAAGCACAAGTTCACTTTTTGAATTTAAGTGCAATCCAGGATCTACCTCAGACTCAAACACTCTTGCCCTGTTTTCTTCTACCCCTTCTCCAAGACTCCGATCCTGCTCACGCCATGCTCCCTCCCTCCCTCCGCTATCCTCATTCACTTTTATTAGGCAGCTAGCAGTGGACTGGAGTACGGGGGAGGAGGATGCAGGCTCTGATCCTGGGCTAAAGGATTTGGAGTGTGGGAGGGACTCTGAGCTGATCTTGGGGCAGGGAGTTGAGATGCACGAAGGGGTTCAGGGTGCAGGCTCTGGGAGGAAGTTTGGGTGCAGGGAGGACTCAGGACTAGGGCAAGAGTTTGGGGTGCAGGAGGGGTTCAGGACCAGGGTAGGGGTTTAGAATGCGGGCTCCTGTTGGGCACCGCTTACCACAGGTGGCTTCTGGATGGTGCTACGGCAGGCTCACCCCACCCTAACCCTGAACCACTCCCAAAAGCAGTCAGCAAACTCCCTTCATCCTTGTCCCCCCTATGCTCTATGGAGATGGGGAATGGGGGTGGGAGAGAAGGGCACCCAGATATCAGCACCCCCTCCTCTTTTTCCCATGCTTTGCACAGCAAGCAGGAGTCTCCCAGGGGGTGGGAGGCAGCTCCAAGGCAAAGGGCAGGAGTAGCACACTAGTGCTGAGAGAGGCAAATGAACTGCTGGCACTTGATAGCCTCCTGGTCAAACCTGTCCGAATTACCTGTCAAAGGCTTCAAGATCTACCAGTAGATCCCGATCCACTGGTTGGTGACCACTGCTCTAGCGGCTTGTAAAAAGCAGGTGTTTCAGTCATATTCAATGCCAGATATGTATCTCGGTTATTTCTATGCTCAAGACTAATGTAATTTGTTTTATAACATTTTGAATATTTGTTGAGTTATGAACCAATTGTCTCATAACTCTTGGGATTAACTAAACAGAAACTCATTAAGATTCTGATTCTGCAATTATACATGTGTTTAACTTTACACACTATGAATATTACCAATGAATGTAAAGTTAAGTATGTGCACAAATCTTTGTAGGATCAAAGCCTACAGTGCACTTCAGTAATCCTTGTACTTTATAAATCCGCTTTAAAAACTGGCAGTCTCTCCTAATTTCTCAGCAACAGTGTGATGTACAGAGAGGCTCTGCAATACTGAGACATCATTATTTTTATAAAATGTGTTACTGTACATTTACTAGTAAATTTGGAAGCATTAAGTACAGTAGGCTAGATAAACAAACGAAGAACTTTTGTGATGCATCACACTTATTTTTGCTAACCTTGCTGTTAAGTAAATAATTTGCAAAACACTATTTGGCAATAAATCTCCCAGTCAATAACGTCCATTAGTGAGATTCTTCTGTACTTGAATATGATGGCTTGTTTCATGGCTACAACAATATTTTCAAAAGGGAAAGGAAGACCCTTCAGCTTCTCAGACACATTTTTATATCATTCATAATGACGAAATAAAAATAATGTTTCCCTGAGTCCAGACTCAAAAAATTATTTTTTCTTGGCGCGTCACAGAACATTCTCCACATAACTCAAACAATACTTTGCATTTATATTAGAATATATCTTATTTGCAACTTGCTCTAATGTCTAGGGATGTAATAGTGTAGTTGATTAACTGATTAATCAATAAACAAAAACTAACAGGTTAATACTATAGACTACACACATTTCCCTCCCCCCGCACCAATAAATGTTTTAGGAGGCTGGCCAGTATCCGGCTCAGTCCTGGCGTGTGACGAGTCCTGGACCTACGCCTGCTGCAGCTCTGCATTTAAAGTGTATTAGGAGCAAAGTGGGCAGGCAGCCTGCTTCAGTTCCAGCTTGCACTGGGTCCAGGACTTCAGTCCAGGAGTATCAAAGGCAGCAGCACAGGGCGACAGGCAGCTGGACTGCTAGGGGAGCTGGTTTTTAAAGTGGCTCCCCTCATGGACCAGCTCCCTCCTGGCACCCCAAGCTGCTACATCTGATATAGAGGCAGCAGAACGGAGTGGCGGGGGCTCCTCGGGAGTGAGGCCGGAGCGCACTGATACCAGCCCCTCTCCCGAGGACTATAGAATAGTTGACTAACCAATAAGAATTCATGACGTTACTTTGACTATTTAATTAACTAATATTTAACATCCCTACTAATGTCTGACTTCACCACTATGGAAACATAGTGGAATTAATGCATGGACAAGTGGTTAACCTAGCAGAAAACCTTACATCTCCATTTCTTATCTTACATTTCTTTCATTAAAGAAAAAAAGGGGGGAGATAGGAGTTTGAAAAGTCATGTACAGTTAATTCATCACAAATATATATGAAATCAGGGCTCGACAAATAATACAATCTACTCGCCCCGTGGCGAGTAGATTGCAACCTGAAGAGCTGGGTTCAGGCAATCTGCACATACGCAGATTGCTGGACAGTGTAGCTGGTGAGTGGGGCTTGCTGTGGGTCGGCGCGCC